ACCTCAGGTCCACCGCTGATCATCAGTGGACCCGAGGTTCCCGCAGCGAATCATCAGTGGACCCGAGATTCCCGCAGCGAACAATGTTTCGCGCTGCGAAACGCGAAAAAGTCGCTTTCTGTCCTAGTGTACCACATCCAATGGTCTCAGGCAACCATCAAAATGTGAAGGTCATCGGGTGAATTTCAGCTTCGTGCACGACAAAACACTGCAGAAACACAGCTAGTAGTCTGATTAGCGGTTTAGCGACATCACATCAATGCCGTGAAACTATCTACTCCCAAGTGCGGATTAAATAAATGCTATAGATGCATCTGGCGGATTAGTGTCCGTCAAATTTATCCTTGTTTCAAGCGGTTCATTAGCGTGAAGAATCTTGAGCATATGATTGAGTCATCATGGTGTTATCCTTCATCCTGGTGAACTTCGGAGGCTAAGAAAAATTATGTCAGGTCTCTATTTTGATTTATTTAGATGCACGAGTCATTGGATTTTTTCAAATCGAAATCGTCTCTAGGAGAGAGAAGGACCCTAAATAAGAGGGTTGATGGTACTGTCGTAACTTAAAAGTACTCTTCAAGGGAGCTGATGCTTTTCGTGGCCGCAGCGACCAATGTCACTCACATCAAGCGCATCTTGGTGGGGTTTGCACCCTCTCGCGTACGACGTGCTCGCTCGAGCTTTTGCTCTCCCCGCAGCGCATGTCTCTCCATCGTACCGTGGTCGGCCTCAAAGGAAATACTTCATAATTTTCTAACTTGCTTTCTGCTTTAATCAATAACCCTCTTCGCGCTTCTTGTCTAGATTTCGAATGAAGTAACACACCAATTCGATCGCGACTGTCTTTGTGCGCGCTGTCTTCGTTAGGGGAACTACTCGTTCAGAAGAGCACTGTTGTACTCCTCTCTTCTCCTCCTTTCTTCAGTTGACTTCCTCTTCTTCCTGAGGATGGCACCGTTGCTGCTCTTCACACTCTTCACCACCCTGATGTCTTGGTAGCCCGATGCCGGGCTTTGGCCAGCCTGAGACGAACTTCTCTGCGTTTCTGCTTTCCAACTTCTCGTACAAGGCGTCCATTTCCGTGTTCTTCGCCTTGGCGACGGCAGCCTTAGCGAGCCTCTTGCAACTCTTGTAGGTAGCGAGGTCCTCGGGCTCCGGGTCTTCTGCCAGCGCTTGTATGCTTCCTTCTTTTCTTCACGACTCACTGGACTTCCTCGCAAGGTCTGCCGCAAAGAACAACGAGGGAGTCGTATCTGCCAATGGATGAGGATGGAGGCGTATCCTCAAGTAACATTCACAGAATCAGAAGCTGCCAAGGCGTGGCTAAGTGGCAAAGGAGGACAGACTTTCAACTGCCACTGCGACTACACACCACAGACGATTGAATGGCGCATCCTAGAGCGAGATTTCTTACTAAAATACGTCATGTTCCAGTGAGCACAAGCGAAAAAATTCTTCAGAGAAACTCCCATGCTTTTAGAACAAATCAAAGTGGAGGAAAGTGCAGCGAATTCGGCTGATTGACCTCTGGAGTACTAATAGAAACCTATGGCAGGAGAAAGGTTTCCTTTCAAGATAATCTAGCATATGCTATAAGTACTGATCTTTTTGATTTCAGTGGTCTTTACCGCTTCTCAATGTACCGACTTTGAAAACTTATGGCCATTTGAAGGTGAAAACTCGCGTTCAAGAGAATGGCCTCAAAAAGTCATTGACGGGAAAAGCAGAACAACAGGACGATTTTTGATAAGAGTGATCATGTAGAAAAATCTTAATAGTTTTTTTTTCAAACGCGTTGATCTTCTAGTTCCAAAAAGTTGATTATGAAGAAAGTTATGAACGTTTGAATGTCGAAAACTCGCGCCTTCTCAAAAATCGGACCACAAACCCCCCAAAACGGAACAACGGGACTATTTTTTGAGAAAAATGATCTTGGGAAAAAGTCAGGTACTTTTTTGAAAGCGCTAATCTTCTAGTTTCTATGTAGCTTTGAAACGCAAAAATGCAAAAAATTGACAGTGAAGGAAGTTATGAACGTTTGAATGATGAAAAATCACAAATAATGGAAAAGTTGGACGATCTTTGTCAAGCCGGCGGCTACCCACGGGAGGATTTCATGAAATGTAACTATTGGATCAAGGTGCGCTATTCCTGCATAGGAAGCACAGATGCCATTGCTGAAAGTCGTTACTGCTCAGGCGCCTGCTGGTAAGAAAGTCCAAGTGAAGTTTGTTAGTTTCTCCCAAAGGCGTTGCCACCGATGGATGCCTTTATGCTGGAGTTGAAATCAAAACTCATCCCGATCAACGCCTCACTGGATACAGGTTAGTTCCCTAAAAATCAGAATAGTTTTGTAACACGAGATTATTTCTGAATATCTTCCAGGCTTTGCTAAGAAGATGACAAGAACACAATTCCTACTTCGGCTTCCAATATTGTGCCAGTTATAAACCGAATATACGCCACAGTCACTACACCAGAATACCGCTATATTTGAGGAGCCTTGATTGGATTCGCAAGGATATCTGGCGTTCTTGCAATAAATAATTCTCAAAATTTTCAGCCAACACTGCATACAGTCCTAATGGCTAATAGCTCTTGTCAGTTGGCACTTGAACACGGAGGGAGTTTCTTTTGGTAGCCCCTACATTCTGATGCCGCGAAAGTCTATTATCAACTGGTCGCACCTTGCATTGTGAACAAATAGTCCACCAGCTTAGCATTTGTTGATCCCACCGCTCTCAATTCTCATGGAAAAGGAAATTCTTGAGAAATTTAAGACTCTCGCATGAACAATTTGTTTTTGTTCCCTTTCGTTTTGATCCCTTTCCAGAGGACCCAGCCCTATACCACATGAGGTGAACTAAAAAAAATGAAACACTCTCTGTCTAATTTCAATCCCGGCGAGAATTCTTTCGAAGCTTATGTGCAGCACATCGCCTATCTCGACCAGGCCTTCATTCCATGGTGGGACGGTCCAAGCTGGGAATGTGTCTAAGAGGATAAAAACACATATCCACGCGGTGGCAAACTGCGCCCCTGCTCTCTAGGCCACATCAAATTCAAAATGGTACTACGACTTCGAAGGTAATTATAATGCGGGCGTATCCCAAAGACGCACTCATGAATGCAGTTTTTATCTTCCTAGGTTTCGATGTTTTGCGCTGCTTTCATCTATGAAGCCATATAAGTTCGGAGCAATCAGACTAGGATCCTATTAAGTCTGTATGAAAAAGTCAACGTCGACAGAAAATCATTAAGGTACTTGAATCTTTGACGTTTTCGCAGTGGTTTTGTCCATAGGGCGCGTCGCGGTTTCGCATTAGGGCGCACTACCATGCGCCGTTAATCCACACTCATCTCAGCAACCCTTGTATTCGGCAAAACCAATCGCAGTAGGTTCGTTTCTTTCCTTATCCTTGTTTGGTCGCTTAACTTTTCACGACGAATCTAGTGTGAGAAATCTGCTCGACTATGTGTTTACCCTGTTTAAGGCTCCCCTCCCATCTTTATGGGCAACAATGACGTGAACTGTAGGAGAAGGCTTATTCTGCGCAGGGGATTAATGTGTCCTTGGGGACGAACTTCTCGCTCGATCGACATTTTGACTTTCACATTGAACACTTAAAAAGGTGCAATTGCTATAGGTCAATCAACTTTTTCAAGGCTTTTCGAACAGCGAGGAAAGCGCCAAGTGAGGCGCAATGTTCTCTCCAGGGCGTTTTGAGGACGAATCTACTTTGCGGCCTAACGAATCTTCTAGAGTCATTGTACCGCAGTTTAGGTCGTCGACATTCATTTGAAAGTAGCTCTATCCCTATGCACTGATCATGGCTTACTCAACGTATCATGTAATGTGCTTCATCTACGAGTGATTGAAGAGAGCACCCAACAGGACTTTGCTTGCTTCTCAACATCAGAAGGGCACACACCCATAGTGCTCACTTGGATATTAAATTATAAATAAGTAAACAGTGGCAATGTATGCATAGAACGTCTGGAGTTATTGATAACCTGTGAAGAAGTAATGATGCGCCGGTCAGTTCAGATGAAATAGCTGAACGCTGGGACAAGAATAATTAGTTATTTTCACATTTTGATGTAAGTTAAGTTATTCAGGAAACTTCTAGCCAGGATTCGAGACTGTGTCGATCGCGGTCTTTTCCTTATGAATTCCCTCGTTGAGCATCTTCTCGAACAGAACTGCCATATAAGGGAGCTCTGCGCCTACCAAAAGTTGCCTTCTGGAGGGAGAGATTCAAACGGTTTCGCGAGTGATCCCATTATTACCTTTTTCAAAAGATGCTCTTGTCAGAGAAAACCTGACCCTGCTACCAGTTTACTGAGAAGGCTTAAAAGATTCCTGAGAAATGCTCATAAGGGATCGGATTTGCTTCTAGGCCAACTGGGAAACTATGCACATGGCGGAGTACAGTTGCTTTTTTTTGACCACATGAAAAAGATTAGAAGTTCCGCCAGTTTCTGGAAAACATGGAATATTTCGGGAATTTTTGCTGTTTCGATGATTTTGGGCGGATGTGGCGTGGCAGTGGCGCTGCTTACCACGCCCTCGGTCCGGGTATGAAGTCCTGTATCGTGCGCCATCACTCCATCCTAGCTTCCTATCCTCCGGGATTCTGTTAATTGATACACCCATATCGCATTCATCATGCCACTACGACTCCTAATGGAAGTGGAATGCGTGGCGCATCCCGAAAAAATGATCGATCAACGCCGAATGTACATGTAGCTCATGGCTGCAATAATGCTCCGGAATGCTCAAGTATATGGCGTACTCCAGCAGTAGCTATCAGTTGTTTAGACATACCTTTTAGGTGTCGATCAGACTCTAGTCTAGTCTACGCATTGATCGTCTTATCAATCTGACCCTGTTGCTCCCGTCATATTCTCTGTTACAACGTGATGCCGTTCGTGTTTAGGCTTTTTTTGTTTATAACTTGTTACTTAACTGTTTTACGGCTTGTCACTTTTTCAAAGGAATGTCCAGCCATATACTGACAGAGAAAACTGGAAATGTTTTCTGGATTCGCTTCAACCGTCCTGACAAATACAATGCAATTACCTCCAAGGTGAGATTTGCAACTTCGACCATTAATATGTTTAACCCTTTGACGACCGTGTGGCCCGCCGGTGGGCCACACTTTCGCTCGGTGGCGACACGTTTTTAGGGGTTTATTTTGGCATTTTTTATGTTTCAAAACTACACAAATACATTATCGAATTCGCGGAATAATGCGCTAATTACTAATAGTGAAATTGTTGGAGAGTTAATGATTATTGATGAAAAAATTTAGAAAGAAGTGAAGTGACGCATTCATAACGGCGGTCGTCAAAGGGTTAATATGAACTCTGAACGTTGATCTCAAGTAACCCGACCTTAATCCTGAATCTGCGTTACTAAATCAAAGAGAAATTAAGCAATCATTTTCCAGGTATCATGCTCACTTTTTGAGGTTTCTTTGAGACCCCTTGGTTGGTTTTTTGAAAGGCCCTAGTGCCCTTGTTGTACACTTCAGAACCAGGTGAATGGAACGTCCTCGACCTTCGCAAACAGCTATTTCTCATAAACCGTAAGAAATACCCACCTAAACTCGTTCTGGATTGTGCCTTTAACTAAGCAACGTGAGGAGATTTGCTGGCAATTTTTTCGCGGGTATGGTGGCCGAATATCGTATGGAGTAGATCTCCCTCCATAAACATGCAAATGTGGTATACTCTACTTCGGAAGAAAGAAGAGCGTGGAGTGCAGACCACACACCCCAAGTGACGACGGCCAACAAAAAAGTGGCTTTTCTTATTTTGTTGTGGTCTGCACTCAACGCTCTTCTCGTCTTCCAAAACCGAGGGTAGATAGCTCAGTGGGAGTCTATATACACTTGTAATAAAATCCTATATAAAACAAATAGGAGTTACTCTCCAATGAGAAACCTCTTCAAGTAAGTAAGTAAGTAGGTAGTAAGTAAGTAGGTAGTAAGTAAGTAGGTAAGTTTAAGTATAATAGTAACAGAGATGATCGTTGTCGTTGATTGGCATCAATTTCAGATGTACAAGGCCTTGATTCATGCATTCGAGGAAGCGGAAAACGACGATGAAGTGTTCATTACAGTATTAACAGGTATATTCTGCTTCTACTATTAACGCATAGTTTTTTTTTGCAGAGAAAGATATTCGCTCTACTTTATAATTAAGGTTCTGGAGCGTTTTATTGCGCTGGCAGTGACTTCTCTTCCACCGAACTTCAAAACTCCGGGTTTCCTACACTTTTTCTAAAAATTGTGCTATTTGTTCATTTTGGCACTATAATCTCCCTCAGTCAGATCAAAAGATGCGTCATCCGATGTTGGTCAGGTCTTTCTGGGATGCGCCATGGATTTAAACTTCAACTGCACTTGAATGCCACGTGGCCAGATACTACATATACAGTAGCGGTCAAAAGTGTTCGCCGAAACGGTTTTTCATGCTTCTCTTTTTTGCCAAAAAAAATCAATGGTGACCTCGAAATTTTTTCTTTTGAATATCCTGATTCTTTAAGACTTGAGGATATAAAAACACTAGAAAACATAGTATATCAATCTTTGGAGGGCGTTGCTCAAGCGAGAAAAAATAATGCACTGAAAATCGTTTCGGCGAACACTTTTGACCGCTACTGTACATTATTTGCGAGGGTTAGCCAATAAACAAGCCAGTGCTTTTGTTTCCCCTGTCCTGTTCTTCCCCATTCCCCTAGTCCGGTACCTGCTCACCGGCATGGAGCGATGGAAAGCTCGATTAAAAGTCACCCCTCCCCAATTCTCCAGCCGATACTTCATTAGTTTTTCATGATGCCTAGTATGCATAACCTTGCAGAATTCACTGGTACTTATGTTGACCAAAAAAGAATAAATTTTATATGTAGTTTGTAGGGGAAATGAACCATCATTTTATTAATTTGACCATTAAATCAATTAAATTTTCTATTTCAGATGGCCGAGCGAAAGCGGTACGGATTCACCGTATAAGCTGTGGACCGATAGCTTGATTAGACACTCGAAGGTGAAAACATTTGCATTAGGGCTTCGTGTCCTCGGTTGACTTTTTGGGTGTTGAGAGTATTCATCAATTCAGTAATTTTTTTAGCTGTTGGTAGCCCTTGTCAACGGACCAGCAATTGGAATAGCTTGTACAACCTTGGGGCTTTGCGATGTGGTGCTGGCTTCTGATAAGGTCAGCAGTTCGTTTCTGTTGTATTATGATGTTATTCACAGCCCGTGAGTGGGAAATAGTTATTGGTCAATAATTTGAAGTCACATTCGAAATATTCCGTACTTGATCGGCTGTTTAAAGTGTAGCGTCGCATACAGTACTTTCTGCACAGTGGTCACACCAAAATGACTTCGGTGGGGTGACTGAAATGCCGTCAAAAGGCTCATCGGAACTTTACCCTTGAGGCTGGGAAAAGAGAGCGTTTTCGGTGTCGGTAAATTCTTTTTTAGATACCGCTTCAATTTTACTTCCGCTTAACTGAAGGTGTATTATTCATTTTTTTTTCAAGAATCGCAATTTTTCATGGAAGTTTTTTTTTGAAACTTATCACTCTACCCAAACTCCTTGCAGCCTAGCTATTATATCCTACCTCGCCGCTCTCTGAAAACATATGTGGACATTGTCGATTCCATTCAAAACAATCCCTCTCCTCCTCCCCCCTCCCTTCCCGCTACAGATCCAAACAACGTCCAGGTCCTGCGAACGAGGTAGCCTATACTTTGCGTCATTTCGGTTGGGATGCACCCTTCATCCACGATGGACGGACTAGTTGCTCGGACCACTGCTAGCAAAACGTCATTTATTCGTTCCAGGCCTACTTCTATTGTCCTTTCACCATGTTGGGCTTGAATCCGGAAGGCTGCAGTAGCTATACGTTTGTCCAGCTAATGGGTCACACAAAGGTCTGTTATCGCTTCATTGGTTCTTTTAAATGCTGTTTATGTTTGATGATTTTCAGATTCTATTGATTTCATTGTCCTCGAAATCTCTTCTTATTAAACCATAACAGTATTAGGGACATGGCATTAGAAAAGCCACTCCTAAATTGCTTGAAAGTCTCCACAATAAAAACATTTCAAAAACATTTCATGTTGAGAATTGCTATTGGGTCTGAATAACGTTTAAGGTTTAAGGCTGCACGTTTGATTCTGTTATCCGAGAAGATGTCGGCTAAAGAAGCTTATGAAGCCGGTCTTGTATCTCAGGTACGTTCGTATCTTTATTACTTTTGGCTGTGCTTCCAGCAATGTCAACCGTTGCGTAAGGTCATTTCAAAATTCTCACGACCCAGGCTCCCCAACTTCCTCGTCTCCCTACTTCCCTCCTCCGGTGGTTGATGGTGTCGATAATCGTTAGTATCTTTGAGCTCGGTCCAAGGTGACTACGTAACGCTCTTTCTGTTCGGCACACAAATCTTCACAAGAAGTCAATTAAAGGGCAGGTGGTTCGAATAACGGTAAATGTATGTATCCAACAAAAAGGAGGGGCAGTCATCTCAACAAAATAGGACGCAGCGCTTTTTGTATATAAGATACCCCCGTAGCGACCTAGGAGGGTCTAAACCGCGGCGGTGAATTTTTTACGCGGCTGACCACGACCATCAGTTGGCTACCCCAGCTGCTGGTCCATCGCCATCGGACTCCAAGCGTTTAGCAGAGAGTCAGAGCAGTGGTACATGTTGATGGCGTCAGCACCGTTGAGATCCCAGGTAATCAACGGGGCAACCAAAGGTCCCATTTTACGGTTTATGAGCCGTTTTCCTTGTTTTTCTTTCAACTCTACCGCCTAGCGCAAGTCCTTCAATGAGCTGGAGCGATTTCTCGTAGAAATAGAAAGCAACGCAGGTTATCCTATTACGTTACTAATTTTCGGAATCGCCTTATTTAATGAAAACCCATGTATTTTCTTCTCTCAGGTGTTTTCTCATGACACATTCTCAAAGGAGTCTCAGAAGATAGTGGACCAATACAGCAAGCTCGCTAGACAGGTACTGGATTTCTTTCTAATGACAGTCTGTCAACGACTTACATACCTCAATGCTCAGGTGTTTCGTAATGTTACAAGTAATCATTTCAAGAAGAATCTATCAGTCTCCTCCCCGATGCCACCCTTATGCATAAATATAGGATGATGTGTGTCACCGGCGATGTCTCTGTGTCAGGCACAGTGTTTGTATCGCGGGCGTGATTTTGCAACGGCTATAGTAGGAAAAGAAAACTTTTCAAAGCAATCTAGTAAAACTATCAAAAGCAGCGGCTCTGGGAAATTTTTAGAGATGATTTCGGCAAAGGCGGAAGGTTTAATTAAGGTCGATGCGACGCAGTGGTAAGACAGGAAAAAGCAACCACATTCTCGTAATCAAGTGGACCAAAGGGTGTAAATGGTTGTTAAAGCGATATCAGAAACGAACAGCGTTTGCAAGTGTGTGGAGAAGTCAAAAACGTGTGGCGAATTGTAGCCTCTCAGAGCCAATTGGCTGGACTCATGCTTTCAAGCTAGTAAAGCTAGTAAAACAAAAGAGCCAGTTTTGAACAGTTCTTTTTCAGAGTCTTCTCGTATCAAAGCGATTGCTAAGGCCGGAATCTCTCGTTGACAAACTTCTAACGATTAATCGGAAGGAATGCGAGGTAATGACTTATTGTGCTGCTTTCTCTGTTAGGCCGATGTCAGACTTTGCGAATCGCGCGATTCGCAAAGTCTGATATCGGCCTTAAATCCAAAAAAAAGAAATTATTTGCTTGAATGAAACTACTGACAGACTGATGCCAAAAGTAATAGTCAAGTCAAGGCCTCAAGCATTAAAGACGGTGATTAGGTAGGCTGGAGGGCGGTGCGGTTCCGATGACGTCATATGACCTAGCGGACCGAATTCTCAGCGCAGGGAGTGTGGTTGGGGCCGCCTCTCAGCGCCCTTTGCAAATGTTTAGTGACGCCGGCTCCATGGAATAAATCACCGGCGGCGCGGACGCGAGCGCGTGCGGGTGACGTCACTTTGACGTCACAGCGGCGGCGAGGGATTGAGCAAGAGTGGTGCCAATACTTTATAACATTACGTATAGGACACTATCGACTCTGACTTCACTGTGCAGTGAGTAGAAGTAATAACGAAGAATGGACTTATTGAAATCACCCAAATTATTGCGCACTCGTTAGAGTTTACACACGAAACCGTTTATTTCTCCATTCTTCACAATCATTTTCCTAATTTTCGACAATGAAAATTGTACCTATACACAATACAATCACTTCGCTCACGGCACTACTGATTGCACTAGTTGGTGAGGTGCCAGCTACCCTTCTACTATTCAAGCAAAGTGGCAGCGACGCTTTTAGTTTATCTTCTCGTGCTGTTGCAGCTGTGACGTCAGCTGCACGCGCTCGCGTCCGCGCCGCCGGTGAGCTTTTCTCTCCTCCCCCCCCCCCCCCCAGTGACGCCATCAAAACTGCAGCGCCCTTCAGCCACGCGACCACGACATTTCTGCCGATTTTCGGAATTGCTAGACTTAAAAGAGTTCTTTCTTGACCACTGCAGGTTAACGGAACAAGTGGATGAGAACCTCCACGGATTTTCGCGAAATCCGTCTAGTTACCATATTTAGAAGGTGCCGGATTATGCTATTATTGGGTGTTCCAAGTTTATGTATCACTGGCAGGCTGTTTTGTATTAGTTTTGATTGCAAGATTCCGACGTGCTTTTACAAGGTTTTGAAGAAAATCCCTTCATCGTTATGAGATTCAATCGATTCATTTCCCTGAGCTTATCTTTTTGCGTCAGATTGGGATACGGTCCACCATCGCCTTCAATGATATTATCGTTTGGCAAGCAATTAAGGTCCATGAACGCCATGAAAACCTTCTTTTCGAATACCACTGAGCTTGTTTTGATAGCTCCCGATGGACAGATATCCTTGAACACTGAGGTTACTGCAAGGCGAGTGCTAATACATATACTACTCTGTACCAGGGTCAACGGTCTTCCTGGTTGAGTCAGACGAATGAGGTTATACTCTGTGAATTTAGAGAGGTTGGGGGACCTGGGGTGCGGAGTTTCAAAAATGTCAGGCAGAACCAGGTTCAGCACCTATCAACGTCATCCAGTCTATTCTATTGGAGTGGGCACGAGGTCGTGAGTCGCATATCTGAAACCGGGCAGATGTGACGGGTCGATCCTGCCCTCTGTTCAAGTTGCTCTATCGTCTCCAACCTTAGCTAATATTTTTTGTAGAATAGAAGCGGTCATGATATCAGCAATGTCAATCTTACAGGTTCTCATGAAGCAGTTCAGTTGTGAAGAAACTTTGGAGAGGATGATGTCGAAATTTTCGTCCAAGATATAAATATTCGCCATTCTTCAGCACTTCCTGTATAGCTTGATGTTTTCTCTTATTTACTTGTTTTTTTTTTGAATGAGAACAAAGAGGCTGTGGCGCAGAAGTCCTAGCGGCGAAAGAGAGGGATAAACACCAACGACAAAGATAGGGACGAAAGGCTACATGTGCGGCTCTTTATCGCCTCGATTAGGCTTTTGTTATTTACGTCGATGGCGCTCATTTTACGATGTGAACTTTGTGATAAACAACAATAGTCAGACAAAGAAAAGAGAATTGGGGAACATTTCCCGGTTGCCCAGTACGCGGTTATGGACGAACACGGGTTGAGATGGGTGCGCTACTTCCACAGAAAATATCGAGGGCGCAGCGCCACTTCTCGTAGACCTCCTGCCTACATCCCGTGAAGTCCCTGATGAACCGTTGTTGGTGTGGTCACGTTACCTCACTAGTTGCAAGTTTAAATAGCATTTGTAAAGGTTTTTAGGCGCAACGCTCCGTGGAGCCTTAGGTAGCACTGCAACCTCCTTCTGCACTACCTTTACTATTATTCATTGGATAATAGTTCTTCTAGGTTCCTTTTACTTCTTTTGTTATCAGACTTAAGTAAATACATAAAATTGATTTTGATAAATTTAAGAGCATGTAGACACATTTTCACAATAATGTCGGTTAGGTAGTGGTGTAGCGACGGGGGTGCCATTTCTCTGCCGCACGGTCTGTGAGTCAAATCTGGGATTGATTCTTGCCCAGATTACTCAAGCGATACATCTTCCATCTGGGCTCCAGGGTGAATATCGGTCGAGGATTCCTCAACGGCTTGTCGAGGATTTTGCCTGATCAGTTACGCTCTCCCGCGCGGACATTCACACTCGCCATGCGCGAATCCGTCTGTGCTCTCCGCGTGTGCGTACACTCTCGGCTCTACTCTCGTACAGTATGTACCCTTCCCTTCAAAAAACTAGAAAGTGTGCGGTGCAGACCAACCACCACAACTGACGACGGCCTCCAAGTAAATTTGGTTGGTAGTG